TACTATGAGACAGAAGTAGGGCAAGCGTGATGGTGGGGCAGAAGGAAGGTAAAAGGAAACAGGTATAATCTAGGGAGCAAAGCTATGGGTAGAGGTATAAGCATAGATGTGTCCATATGTAAATATAGGATGCACAAAGGTTTTCCCCCAGGTTGTCACCTGCTTGCTAGCTCATTGGGAGGGCAGCTGCTTAGAAGTTTCCTCCCTGAGGACATCAGCCATCCAGAGCAATCAGATGATTGTCTGTCCCACCTGAGGTGGGGCTCACTCCCTACTGATAAGGATAGTGATTGTTTCCCTGGAGAGCCCAGAAAATAGGTCAAGCACACTCAAGGACTAGCAAGGTTAGGCTCCCATCTTGAATCTAGGATCCGCCCATCTTGTCACATATGGACCCCTAATCCTTCCTATTGCATGTACACCCCTAGATCATCCCCCTCCCATTGCTGTATTGCTTATGGTATAACCCCTTCCTGTGATGTATGTGGCTACCTGTAATCAGGGGGCCTTGCACACCCCTAAGTATATATAAGCCCTGGTTAGAGATATATTCTCTCTCTCCTCCTCTGTCTCCCACTCCACGTGGACCACTAAGAGGGTTTGAGGTGAGCATGCTACCATGAAATGTGTCTGATTCCTTTATTTGGTCTTCTCTCCTACCTTCCCTATTCTCTATGAGTTTACTGTAATCTTTATATATTATCACCGTACAATTGTGCCTACAGACCCCCACGATTGTCAGAGGCTGGTTACTCTGACATGTAAATACATTATTCCATAAAAATAGAAGTATTGGCCTATATACATATATTTATATGGCAATACACTGAGGTAGTGGACTGACTTCGGGCCTCTGCTCATACCCTCCCTCAATATAAGAACACTTTGCTCTTTTTTTTAAAAATCGTTTTATTAGGGGCTCATACAACTCTTACTGCAATCCATATATACATCAATTGTGTAAAGCACATTTGTACATTCATTGCCCTCATTATTCTTAAAACATTTGCTTTCCACCTAAGCCCCTGGCATCAGCTCCTCATTTTCCCCTCCCTCCCTGCTTCCCCCTTCCTCATGAACCCTTGATAATTTATAAATTATTAGTTTGTCATATCTTGCCCTGTCTCCCTTCACCCACCCGTCTCCCTTCATCCACTTTTCTGTTGTCTGTCCCCCAGGGAGGAGGTCACATATAGATCCTTATAATCAGTTCCCCCTTTCCAACCCACCCTCCCAGAACATTTTGTTCTAACAGATTGGCATTCTGAGATGCCTACCCGCCCAGCACAATCTCTTAAGACAAAAATGGGTGCATAAGCAAATGTAGTGAAGAAGGCGGATGGTGCCCAGCTATTAAAAGATCTAGTGTCTAGGGTCTTAAAGGCTTGAAATGTGAAGGCAACGAATGTACAAATGTGCTTTTCACAATTGGTGTATGTACGGATTGTGTTAAGAGTTGTATGAGCCCCCAGTAAAATGATTTAAAAAAAAAAAAGGAATAAAAAAAAAAGGCTTGAAATGTAACAAGTAGCCACCCAGCAGAGAAAGAACAAGCCCACATGGAAGAAGCACACCAGCCTGTGCACGCATGAGGGACCAGGTAACAGGCATCAGAAGACTCTTAACAAACAAGGAAACAAAACCATATGGTTGAAAACCAGGTGGGTCAGAGCAGAGTCCCAACGCCCATCTGTGGACAATGGAACATCCCCCACAGAGGGATCACAGGGAAGGGATGAGTCAAGCAGGATGAAGTAAAGGACCAAGATGAAACACACAATATTCCTCTGGTTCCTTGAGGCTTCCTCACCCCCCACTAACATGACGCCAGTGATGCCTCTCACTTCGGACTAGACAAAGCCTGTACACAGGTGTGGATAAAAGATGAGAGCTCCAGACACATGCAACCCAGGAGCAGGAATAGGAATAGCGAGAAGTGGGGAGCAGGAAGGGGGAAACCGATCCTAATGATCAACACACAACCACACACACCCCTCCCAGGGGAAGAACAACGGAAACCATGGGGGAAGGGAGACAGTGGTCGGTGTGAGACATGAAAACAATAAAAATTTATAATCTATCAAGTGGTCACATGGGTGCGGGGCAAGGGGGGGAAAAGTAGCTGCTACCAAGGGCTCAAGAGAAAGTAATTGTCTAGAAATGAATGATGGCAACTTATGTACAAATATGGCTGATACAATTGATGTAACAATGTAACACATGAAAAAACAGTAATAATTTATAGATTATCAAGGGTTCCTGAGGGAAGAAGGATGGGGGAGGGAGGGGGAAAAAATGAGCTGATACCAAGGGCTCAAGTAGAAAGAAAATGGTTTGAGAATGATGATGGCAACAAATGTACAAATATGCTTGACCCAATGGATGGATGGATGGTGAGAAGAGTTGTAAGAGCCCCCCATAAAATGATTAAAATAACAAACAAAATGATATCATCCATTGAAAATCTTAGATGACAATCCAGATGAACCAAAGCAACTGCATGAAGTCATTTCTGTGCCCCTGGGCTCCAAGGCTATTTCTTTGACAAGTGTATGGTGGGTGGACCAGCCACATGTTTGTTGAATTGACTTGAGTGATATCTCTTATTTCTTCAAATGAATACATGAAACATGTGAGGAAAAAAAAAAAAGAATTGTAAAAGCCCTCAATAGATTGATCCCCCCCCCAATTGAGTTGAATTCCAGTTAAAACTTTGTGTGTACATGGAAGCAGTGTTGTGCCATCAATCTTTCTATAGTTTGACACTAAGCTTACTGAGTTAAAAGATGTATGCACTTGTGGGAAACTGAGGACTGGGAAGAAAGTATATGTAGACAAATTATTTATTCTCATGTTTAAGAAGCCTGGGAGTCTAGGGTTCTGGGTGGAGGGAGGCCTAACTCACACTTGTGAGTTAGAGATGAGTCCCATTCCCATTCTCATAACTAAGGTTAATCACCACAATATCCTGCCATAATAGTGTTACCTGAAGGTTCCTCTCACATGACTGATTGCTATCTGGCAGCTTTCTCTATAGGAGATGTATTGTTATTACTCTCCCTGTTCAGGAGACTCACTCCCCCTCACCTGCCACAGCACTGGTGTCAGGTTACTCCTCCAAGGAGTAACTCAGGGACCTTTAGGGTAAGTGGTTACCTGTAATTAGGGGGGCTTGCATGCCTAATTATGTAAGTTGATGTTAAGAATACATTTTCTCAGCCAGCTCCCCCACCACCTGACTTGCACCATGGCCAACAACGTGTGCACCTTCATCGCCATCAAACCGGACAGCGAGCTGCGAGGCCTGGTGGGTGACATCATCAAGCGCTTTGAGCAGAGGGGGTTCCCTCTGGTGGGCATGAAGCCAGTTCAGGCCTCTGAGGGACACCTGAAGCAGCACTCCATTGACCTGAAAGACGGCCCCTTCTTCCCAGGGCTGGTGAAGGACATGAACTTGGGACCAATGTGGCCATGGTGGGCCAGGTGGTACTGGGAGAGACCAACCCAGCAGCTTCTAAGCCAGGTACCATCTGAGGGGACTTCTGTGTTCAAGTTGGCAGGAACATCATTCGGGCCAGTGATTTGGCCAAGCGCGCCGAGAAAGAAATCAGCCTCTGGTTTAAGCCGGAGGGACTGGTGGACGACAAGTCTTGGGCTGTGATTGGATCTACAAGTAAAAGGCGGACAAAGCAGTCCCGTCCCCGTGGGTCCACGGGCACTGTTCCTGTCCTGAGTACAGCACTTCTTCTGGGGTTGGAAGTAGGACTGATGTCCTGTTTCCTTCCAAAGCACGCTGACCAATAAAGTGTTTGTAGACTGAAAAAAAGAACATTTCCTCTCTCTCCTGCCAGGACCTGGTTCCTGATGCCATAGCAGAGGTGAGCACCCCAAAACTTTTGTCTCGTAATTTCTTCCCTTCAATTACCCAACTGTCCCTGAGTACCCATCTGGCTGGGGAGCTGGGTCCCACATGCACTGGAAATCTCAGTGAAGAATGCCAAATTTTCTTCTGGGAAGGTTGCAGCAATAAATATCGCCCCGAGAAGCTCAGGAGAGGAAGAGGAACTTATTTTGGTTAGTTTCTTGATTTTTTAAATTATTATTATTATTATTAAATACTTTTATTGGGGGCTCTTAACAGCTCTTATCACAATCCATACATTTCTACATATGTTGCCATCATCATTTTCTTTTTTAATCATTTTCTTTCTACTTGAGCCCTTGATATCAACTCATTTTTTCCTTCCCTCCTCACCCTTCCTCACTCGTGATAAATTGTAAATTATTATTTTCATATCTTACATCATCTACTGTCTCCCTTCACCCATTTTACTGTTGTCCATCCCCCTGGGAGGGGGTTATATGTTGATCCTTGTGATCAATTCCCCTTTTCTCCCCCCAACCTACCCTTACCCTCCTGGTATCTCTAGTCCCATGATTAGCCCTGAGGGGTTTATCTGCCGTGGATTCCCTGTGTTTTGGGCTCTTATCTGTAGCATTGTGCATGTTCTGGTCTAGTCAGATTTGTAAGGTAGAATTGGGGTCATGATAGTGGGGGGGAGGAAGCAGTAAAGAACTAGAGGAAAGTTGTATGTTTCATTGGTGCTATACTGCACCCCGAATGGCTCAACTCGTCCCTGTGACCCTTCTGTAAGGGGAAGTCCAATTGTCTACAGATGGGCTTTGGGTCTCCACTCCATGCCCCCACCACTATCCCCCAGTTTCTTGATCTTTCATGTGAGTTAATTTTGCCACAAATTCAGAAACTGAAACTTGGCCACAATTTTCTCTACAAAGTAGTCACATGAGGGACAATGATAAAGCTTATTTCCAATAAACTTTGAAATTTAAAAAAATGAAAAAGTTGCCTATGAGAAACATAATAATTAATGCAGTATAGGCACAATTTTTGTGTAAGACGAATACTCTAATAAGACAGTGGTTCTCAACCTTCCTAATGTCGTGACCCTTTCACACAGTTCCTCACGTTGTGGTGACCCCCCCAACCATAAAATGATTTTCGTTGCTACTTCATCTGTCATTTTGCTACTGCTATGAATTGGGGAACCCCTATGAAAAAGTTGTTCGACCCCCAAAGGGGTTGCAACCCACAGGTTGAGGACCGCTGGTCTAAGAGATGCTCTGTGAATGCTGGGGATGTGAACAGTAATTATTTGACTCTGGGAAGAGGACGAGTTAAAAAGAAAGTTGTGCTATTTTTGCTTCAGTTAACATCTGAAAAAAGAATCTATTCACCTAAATCTAGTGACTGCATGAAACCTCAAAAAGAGAAGAATGTATCTGTGTCTCCAACGCCATCTACATCCAGGTATCAAGGCTGCTGAGTCCCCTGGACATTGGACTCCACGATCACCAAAGCCTCATTTGAGTATAACTGACTTCTAATAGTATTTACTTTCTATTATTTAATCAATAACACAAAATATCCAGCTCATACAATCTGTAATTTTCTTCTTTTTATGGAAGATCTGTAATTTTCATTGTAAGTTAGTGTGAGAGAAAGAACTTGATTTGGCCCTTTGTCTCTGGATTCTGGTAAAAGCCAATGGGATGATTGAGGAATTGGGTGACTTTCCTTTTCTAAAATAGGCAGGCAGCACTTACAACATGTAAATATCTAGGAGGGTGGACTTCAGTCTCATGTACTTTGGATATGTTATCAGGAGGGTCATCAACAAAGGGAAAGACTGTCAATGAGACGGAGTGGCATGGTGCTTGCAACAATGTAACCGGACATGAGCGGATGGCGCAGCACTGAGCAGTGTTTCATTGTGTTGTGCATAGGGTCATTACGTGTCAGAACTAACTTGACGACAACAGGAACTACAGACACCCGTCTGATAACAAGTCTCAGAGAGAGAGATTATACCATCCATCATGCATATTCTCTGAGTCATGCCATGTGCAGGTGGTCCCAGTGACTAAGGGAACTTGGAATGTAGAACTTCCTCTTTTGGGTCTCCAGGAATGGTGAGAGGATCTATACATGGGAGACTAGCCTATCCCTGAGGGTCAACAGAAGTCCCTTTACCACAGCCTCTCCCAGACATTGTACCCTCCCTACTTATAACCCGAGGTAGTTTCTGGAAGTTCTCTGAGTCATTCTAGCAAATGATTGAACCCACCGTGGGTAGAAAAAGAAAATGGCAGATGGAAACATGGGAAAGTAGGGTTATCAATATTTTGAAAATTAACCTTATTTCTTTTTTTGAAATAATTTTATTGGGGGCTCATACAACTCTTATCACAATCCATCCATCCATTGTGTCAAGCACATTTGTTCCATCATCATCTTCAAAACATTTTCTTTCTACTTGAGTCCTTGGTATCAGCTTCTCATTTCTCCCTCCTTCCCCCACCCACCCTCACTCCCTCCTGAACCCTTGATAATTGATAAATTACTATTCTTTTTTCATGTCTTACACTGACCAATGTCTCCCTTCACCCACTTTTCTGTTGTCCGTCCCCCTGGGAGGGGATGGTTGAGTTATTTCTTGAGTTCCCATTATGTGCCAGTCACTATTTTGGGCACCAACAGTGCAACGATGACAAATCCGGCACACACACACAAATGCTCCCTAATGACACTTACAGTCTGAAAAAAGGGAAGTTAGGTTTTGGTTGATTTTGATTTGTGTGAATCAAACTCCTGAATCTGATGAATTCTGATACGTGGTCTAAATTCAATTTCCAAACCTGCAACAGTGAGGACTAGATCTGGCATGTTCTTTTTGTTAGGTGCCAGCCAGTCACTCCTGACTCATATGGACCCTGTATACAACAGCTGGGAACACTGCCCATCCTGCACCAGCCTCACAGTCGATGGTTCTTATATTCCAGCGCATGGATGCAGCCGCAGTGTCAGTCCACGGTGTCCAAAGTCCTCTCCCTTTTTGTGGCCCCACTACTTTACCGAGCATGATGCCCTTCTCCAGGTCTCCAATGATATCTGCCTCCTATTATCACATTCTTATATCGGTCCCTCCCCCCTTGTACCAAGGGCATACCTGTGGCCAGCAGTATAAAGTAAAAACAATGCTAGGGCACTGTCAGTATTGGATTGTCAATAGACTGGCTCTTTCTGCTTAGTGTGCTTGTTCTCCATCTCTTTGGGATCTCTGACTCGAGAGAAAGGGAGCTGCCATTTTGTGAGCAGCCCCATTAAGACACCCACGTGGCAAAAAAAAAAAAAGCAAGCCTGGAGCTGAGCTGCCAGCCAGTGAATCACTGAGGCCTGCCAACCACCACTAGAGTGAACTTGGGAGTGGATTCTCCAGCCTCAGTCAAGCCTTGAGCAGAGGGCAGCCCCGGCTGATAGGTGAACTGCAACCTGGTGAAAGATCCAGAGCCGGAGCTGGCCGTGCAGTGCAGCAGCTCATTTACTTCTGGATTCGTGAAACTGTGTGAAATATTAAAAGTTTGTTGTTTAAGCTGCTGAAATTGGAGGTAATTCCTTATGCAGTAAAAGGTCATTAATCAGCATAGGTGGCAGTTATCCTACCAAGGTATTGGAACCCTTCCAGCAACGCTCCCCTTTGTGCTCAATTTTCAGCCCAAACCACTTAAAGAATGCTTTCTATTCCACAGCTGGCAGTCAGGTCTTCAGAATCAGGGTAACGTCCCCAGAAGAGCTAGAAAAACAGGGATGACTGTCCCCGTTCTACTGACAGTGCAACTGAGATTCAAGAACGATGACAGCACTTGCAGGCCATGTGGTTGAGGGCATTGACTGACCTTGTTGGCTCAGTTTAGGCAGACCTTGACATTGACCTGTGAAGGATGACCTTCACCTGTGCCTAGGTGGCTTTAGTCTTCGCATGCTCAGTTTGGGATGGATTACAGGTTAAATTCAGGTGCACCTGTGTGACCAGTGTCTGAGGACCGTCGGCTTTGGATTGTCCCCATAGGTGTCTAATGTGTGCCTGATTCCTTTCCAACCCCTTTATTGTGGTATGACCAGCTAATTTTCTTTTAGTGTAGGCATTTGGTGGAGACAACTCCTTTATCCCTAATCTATCTACCTGTCACTTGGATCCACAATCAATGCTCATGGCAGCAACAGTCAAGAGATCAAAAGATAAGAGTTGCATTAGGTAAATCTGCTGCACAAGACCTCTTTAGAGTATGAAAAAGCAAGGATGTTACTTTGAGAACTAAAGTGGGACTGACCCAAGATAATGTATCTTAAATTCCCTCATATGTAGGTGAAAGTTGGATATTAAATAAAGAAGACTGAGGAGGAAGAATCCATGCATTTGAATTGTGGTGCTGGAGAAGAATATTGGAAGTAGCATGGATGGCTAAAAGGATAAACAAACGGATGCTCCTTAGAGGCAAAGATGACGAGACTTCATTTTACATACTGTGGATATGTTGTCAGGAGAGACCAGTCCCTGGAGAAGGACATCATATGTAGTAAAGCACAATCCACTCAATGGTAGTAGGTTTGTCTTTCTGTGACCTCCTCTGGTGGAAATGGCAGCATCTTCCTTCAAAGGTCCATTGCAAAGAGTAAATGAGATCAGTGTCTGCTGCATTCCATTGTTTTTTCTTCCTCCTCTTCCTTTCACCTTCCGTGTATGTAATCTAAAGAAGGGAACCCAAGATTCAGAGAAGGCAAAGCGCTCTATCCAAATGAACAGTTGATTCTAAATCACAGCCACCCTCTAAGATAGTATGGAGAACTGTTTCAGAGGCTGTAAATCTTCAAGGAAGCAGACTGCCTTTTTCTCCTGAGGAGTGACTGGTGGGTTTGGACTGTGGATCTTGTGGTTATCAATCAGATACTTAAGTCCCCTCCCCACCTCACCCCCCCCAAAAAAAAAAAACAAACACTACCATCAAAGAGTTGATACTGACCCTATAGTTGATATGAACCTACAGGACAGGGTAGAACTGCACCTATGGGTTTATGAGACTGTAATTCTTCATAAGAGTAGAATGCCTCATCTTTCTCCCATAGAGCAGGCTGGTGCTCTTGAACTGCTGAGACCACCACCAAGGCTCTATACTTAGGGTGGGTGATAGTCCCTCTTGCCCTCCCAGGTAATCAGTGAATACTAATGGAATCTGACCAAGCTAGTTGTTTGGAATGAGTGGCTTTAGGATAAGTGGTCAAAGGAGTGAAGGAAGGCAAATTTGTGGACCGCAGAAGTGAAGGGGGTCAAGGCAGAACCCCCCACCCCACACTGCAATCATCCAGCCATTCCATTCCAGTCCCCTCCTAACAGCTGGAATAACATAACTTTAAAGCAGAAAGGAGCTAATATATATTAAGCATTGACTAGGCTGGCACTGGGTAGGTGGCTGGGTGTATATTCACTGTCTACCTTGATGATCTCTCAGCTGCAGGTACCAACCTTAACTAGTGAGGAACAAAGCTGGAATTGAACCGTCTCCCAAATTCCAGGTTATGTTCCCTTGCAGTGGGTACTTACCTACTCTCCACTCCAGTGCAGATCTGCCTGGGGGGATGGAGGAAGAAGTGGACTAAGGCAAGGAAATGCTCATGTCCCAAGGATGGCCTTAATCCCTTTCTGGTCCCGCCCAAGGTAGGAATGGGAGAGCCTCCAGTGGGGGATGGGGAGATGTGGAGTTAGTGTGGCAGTGCTCACAGTTCCCCAACCACCGCCATCTCCTAAGCATATTAGGGTCCCTATCCGAGCAGACCCTCTGCAATTTCTAGACTCGGCAGGTATCCTCCTGTCTTTTCATGCTCCCCTGGCAAAAATCTAAGGTGGAGGGAAGGGGGCTCAGAAACACTTCAGCCTCCCCTAGCCTGTCCAGCCAGCTGTGCAGACTCTGGATAGGAGTGAGGGAACCACGCAGCCTTCTCAACCAATACTAAGTAACGAGGAAGAGGAGGACCCCTATCCAGTCTGGGCCTGAAGCCCTAGGGAGGGGAACAACGGCCCAGGAAGAGAAGCTAGCAGCTGGAGACCCCCCTGGAGGGAGGGGGCCAACTACTTCCTCCAGGCAGTTCCCCTCCCCTCCCTCCTCCCAGTTAATAGCTATTTCCTGTTTATGAGGCAGCTAAGGCTGGGTTTTGGGGAAGGACAGAGGAGTCTGTCTACCCTCCCAGCAATACCCCACCCCCTCCGCCAGCCCTGCGAGGGCTGCGTCGGTGAGTCCTTGAGGAATGCCTGAAGGTTGGAAGCCTCCTCCAAGAGCAGAGTGTCTTATATAAACCACCCTGATCCCCCCCGCCCCCCGCTCCTTGGCCCCCACCATGGTCCTGCTCCTCTGGGTAGAGGGGGGGCGAGAACCCCCGAGGGATCACTTCCGGTTCTCCAGTCTCCAAGGAGGGCAGCTTCTGGTCGGGGAGAGGAGGGTGGCGAGGCTGGATGGGGAAAGGGGGGAAGGGAGAATGCCTTGACTGATGAGTCAGAGTCTGCAAGGAGGACCGACGGCCTGAAAATCCCAACCAGGCGGTCAGTCAGCAGGCCCCTTCCCCCCCACAGCCACACGCGGATCCCAGATTCCAGCCCGGGGTGGGGGGAGGGGGAGCGGGGACTCCACTAATTAACCCTTTTAGCTCTAGCCCCAACAGGTTTAGCAAGCAAGGCAGGAACGGCTCATTTAGGGAGCGGCGAGTTGAAGGACTGCAGCAAAAATTAAATAGGGCTTCCCCACTCAGGTCTCAGATCCGGGCGGGGGCATGGAACCACAGGCCTCCAGAATTAGATCCGGGTCTCAGCAGGGAGCAAGCAAGGCGGGGTGGGGGGGAGGATCGACAGTCCCTTTGCCCTCCCGGCGCGGACGCGGGCCGTAGAGCGGGCTACACTTCAGAGCCCACGGTGGCTCCGCCTCCGCCAGCTCCGCTCCGAGCCCGTCGGCGCCTGCAGGGTCGACCCCGAGCGTGAGGCTTCACCCCCTCTCCCTCCCCTTCACGCCCTGGGGTCTCTGCCTCCGTCTCCTTTCTTTAAAAGCTGCGTCACATGCATGTCGTTGCCGGAATGCTCCCAGCCCCTCGCGGCCCGCCGCGCAGCGCACGCACGTCGCCGCGCGCCGCGCGCTCGCCCGGGTCACTTTGACACGGCTCTCCCCGCCCACCAGCAGGGCGATTAGCATATTAATAAAGCCCGGCCCCGCCCGGCTCGCGCTGGAGTGCGGGCGCCGGCGA